AGCAACAATTGAGCAGGGATGCCAGGATCTGAGCAATTAATTATAGGCTAAAAGACAAGAACTGAAATGACAAGAATTGACACCTGATTCTAAATGTAGCAACTTTTTCAAAGTAATAGGATACAGGGGAAAAAAATATTACAGAGCTATTGATTCCTGATTGTGCTGCACAGCAAACATGGCAGCAGTGCCACAGCCAGGGCAGAGGGGTGAATTATTTTAGGATTTCAATGACAGCTGCCAAAAATATTATAACCCTTACAGAGCTTGAAAGATTGAAACAAGGTTGAAAACTCAGCCACTCACATATTAAGCCACGTATAGATGTGTGGTGAAAACAGAGACACCAAGAAAAGCCCTGTGATAACAATTTAAAAGGCAAAAGCAATACCATCAAACAAAACTCTCTGTGCTTTGCCTTTATTTACAAAGATCCTTAGGTTAAATTATTTCTCTGTTCAACACTGAGTAGGAACTGCTGTGCTTTAGCAGCCTGACATAGCCAGGGAGAGATGCACTGGGCAAATGTCAGAATTTCTGCTGTGTGTGTCAGGAGAGGGTGCCCAGACTTGTCTCCTGCTTGGAAGGAACAACAGAACTGCAAAAGCCAAGTGCCACAAAGCCACTTGTCAATCTCTCCCCCTCTGCCACCCCGACCCTCACGACCCCCACACGCAGGGTTGTGATGCTGGGACTGCATTTGTTGGTGGCAAGAGGAAAAGCACACAGGGACAGTGTAGTGCACGAGGCACTAAAATAATCCAGCCAGCTGAAAAAAAGCATAAGGTCTGGAAGAAAAACAAACACCAAGGATAGGCTGTGTAAAGTCAGCTGTCTGAACCTCATCCTCATTGATCAGGTTACATAAAGCACTTAACCACATTAGAAACCCATAAATGAATTGTGCAAGGAAAGCTGTAACTGTGAGGGAGGGGAAAAATAATCCAAACTAAAACAATATTTTCTATTTTTCTATGATAATTCAATTTGAATTCAAAACATGACAGTTGTATATTCGGGAAACATACTTGGAGCCTGATTATTACATTTTACATAGACTACAGCCCAATTAAGAAGACACTGTCCAAGATGTTAAGTGAGGTATTAGAAAGAAAATCTTTACAGTGAGAGTGATGAGGCCCTGGAATGGAATTCCCAGAAAAGCTGTTGCTGCCCCATCCCTGGAAGTGTTCAAGGCCAGGTTGGATGGGGCTTGGAGCAACCTGGCATAGGGGAAGGTGCCCCTGCCCATGGCAGGGGGTTTGGAACTGGATAATTTTTAAGGCGTCATCTAAACTCAGACCATTCTATGATTCTAAGGATTTTATGTCTGTACATTCAACATTACATGGAGAGTGCAATCAGAGTGCAACTCCTCACTCAGGATAGTTAATATTTTACAAGTTTAGGCTGGTTCAAAGTCCAAATGCTCAAATTATCAAAAAAGGAATGAATCAATGTCCACTAAAGATTTAATAACTTGTCTCCTGCATCAGGAAGGCTTTGAGCTTCAAGCTGCTGAATGCTGGGAGAATCTGTTGAGTCACAGACCAGAGGATTAAAGGAATCTACATGGTAAAGTGTGTGTGCTCAGTCCAGTAATCTTTATCTGACAGAAATGTGTCTTGGTAAGGGTGAAGACACCTTCTGCTGCTTCCAAGAACAGGGCTCAGTCAAGTCATCATTGATTCTCTCTTTCTTTGGCTAATGGGATTGAGATTATGAAGTTGTCATTGAAAACCATATTTTCCAGCTGTCACATGCATGCAGCATCTTTCTCAAAGTTTGTCTCCTCTGTTTTCCTATAAAGAAGGTTTAAAACTTCAGATTCCAACAGTCTTGGTTGTCACTTTGGATAACTGTGCACTCATGCAAATGAGTCAAAAGAAGGGCACAGAAGGTTTGTCTAGCTGAAATATTGACACTATCCAAAAAAAAAAAAAAAAAAAAAAAGCTTTTTTCTGACTGCTCCTGCAATCCTGTCCTTTTGAATGGTCACTGATGTTGATGGAACAGCAAAAAAGAGCAGCTGCAGTGTTGCTCCAAGATGTGCACAATGTGACCCAAAAGTTCCTGGGCAATTTTCCTAAGGTGTCAGCAAACAAATGTACAGACACAAGTCCTCAGGAGTTTCTCTGCATTGGCTGTAGACACTTTCCTCTCTCTCTGCGAGACAAAACTGCCCCAAGGGAGCAGTGACACACTTATGGCAGGGCCCTCGACAGGCAGAGTCAGGGCTGGGAGCTCTCCTGAGCAGCTGCTCTCTCTCTGAGGCAGCAGCCAGTGATGGCACAACTGCTTGGGAAGCTCACAGGGAAAGCTGCTTTCTGCTTTGCAAAACTCGTCAAGTGATCTCCCCTCTGGAAAGAATGGGCTTGTCTGTCCAAGCCATGTCTGATCCGTGGTGTGGGGAAAAAATTCTTCTTTTGAGAAGAGCTGTTGATTCAGTATCATTATTGCAAAAGCAGAAACATCAAGCAATTTAAAAAAAAAACCCCAAATATAAGAATATTCCAATGATCAAAACAGTAAATACTAATCATAGATATTAATGGCATAATTTCTTTAATTCACTGAATAGTGACCTTCACATTTCTTATCACCAGCCATGGAAGTTAAAGAAGCCTAACTTTAATATCATGCAAATGGGATTCAAACCACTGGAATGGAGGGGTTGGGGCTTTTCTTCTGGCTCCTCACTGATCCAGCATGGAACAAACATTTTGAGGAGATGTTAAATGGAAGTTCTTGACATTCTTTACCAAACTTTGGATTTTATTTACTGATATGTCCTGAGCCAACCAGAGTATTTAGTAATTAGTTCCTTCACTTGCTTTCCTACCTTTATTTTGTCTGAAGTCATGCAGAGCTGTTACACATTAAACCCCAGCTGTTCCTTATCTCCCTAAAGTGTGTAAGAGCTTTATACGAACCTGTTTCTTGAGGTAATCTTTATATACACTGATATTTTAAAAACCATGGATTTTTAAAAAATCTGTTTGCATTAAAATGCAGAATATAATTTCATCTATCACTATGGACACAGAAACCCTGAAAACATTCTGGTTTAGAAGTCCTCAAAGCATAAATATGAAATCTGCTGCACACCACTAGGGCTAACCCAGACTTACAACCATTTGTAAAGATCAGAAATCATCATTGTTCCAGTATAATTCAATCCAGGTCCTGCCTCCAGTTCTACTGCTGCAGAGTAACTCTTGTTTTAGAAGCTCAATAATTAGTTTCACAACTGATGATGAAAAGTAGAGCATGATATTTTTCCTGGGGCTTTCATTAGTATCTCTAGGTTCACTTCCCTCAAGACATGGATCTCATAACAGGGGATTAATTTTAGTCTTCTGATGGAGTTTTATTGTAAGATTATTTTGTTCTCTGACTTTCTCCACTAAAGGGATTTTGATTAAAATGTGCCTAGACATAGTCAACTGATGATAAGATTTGTAATTTCCAGTAGATATGAATATTTAACTATACTAAAAGAAATTGTGTTATATCACAGATTATCCTGATGGAACACATTTCCAAACTAATGCAGAGTAAAAGCAGAGTGATGCAATTAAAATTATAGTAGTTGCTCTAGATTTAAATTACCAGGACAGATCCCTGTTTGCAACCATAAGTGGTGTCTCTTCTATAAAAATGGGATAAAAATAGATAGATAGATAGATAGATAGATAGATAGATAGATCGATAGATAAGCTGTAAGAACATCAATACTCAGTCAATTAAAGGTCCATTTCACTAATATCATCCTTGCTTCAGGGCTGGCCAAACACCTAAGTAAAGATTCAAATGTAGCGAAATATTTCTACCTATTTCTCCTAGCAATGATGTAGGGCTTGTGGCCATCCCCATCCAAACCAGTGAGATGGTTCTTGACATCCTTCAACAATTGAAAGGTTAAGTGTGAAGAATCTTCTTTCTATGATGGTTTTGAACCAACCCCTTTTAGTTCCCAGTGGAAAGAAGGCACTTTACAAGTCTCATCCTCACATGGAAGGAGAGCATTTTCAACTGAACCTTTGTTAAATAAAAGAATTAACAAAATCTCCCAAACTTTGGCTTTCCCAAGGATAGCTTCACAGTAAATGTGCTGTCTGCAGGAAAAGTCCCATTGGTGCTTTTGGGTTCTGACTTTTCCAGACGGCACCCCTGCCCTTGCAGAAGGCATACAGCCTCCCTTGGCGGGGTAGAAAATCTGTAATTCTCATATCCTCTCAGTGAACAATGGCCTGGCAACTAAAGAAGGAGAAACCCAGGCATGCTTTGCATCAGAAAGAGAATATCACAAATAATTAATGACTCACTCTCCCAGGGACATGAGGGAAAAGAAAGGAAAATAATTTTTTTTTTTTTGTGTCTTATACTTTACATTTAAAGTACATTTTGTTTTACAAGATAAACATGCTATGGGTGAAACTTCCCTAACAGGATGAAGTTGCTTTGATATCTCACCTCTATTCCTAAGGCTACAGCCCTATCCTACCAGAGACCAACACTCCTTCTAGGTGTAGATCCAGAGCAAAGATCACCAAAAATCCATTTTTATTTTTCATCCCTACTGAAATCTCCAGTTGTTTGTCTTCCTGCTCCTCAGGAGGGTCTCTGGAACATCTCAGAAGGTAAAACCACTTGGGAACACCTCTGGGCTTGGAGTCTTTAAAACTGCTTCTGCATCTCTAACTCCTAATCCTAATAATTAAGATCCATTAGTTAGCATTGCTATGAGACTCCTGTAAAATCAAACATGACACAAACAGCAGAGGAAAGGGTCATATGTTGTTTTGTTGGAATAACACCTTGGCTTAATTTTAAGGATCTATTAAGAATATCTCTAATACCCTTTAAAATAAAATATTTTAGTATGCCATACCTGACTCTGCAGGTGGAGATATTTTTTTCTTACCATGATCAGCTTCCTGAACTGTCTCTCAGGCACCTTACAGAGTATGATAAAAGACTTGGCCAAAGGGTTTTACCTGTGCAAAGCTCAGCCAGGTCAGCGCTTGACGGAGACCGCGATGATGATGACAACGAGCAGCAGAACAGCCAAAGCGATGGAGAGGAGGCAGCACTTCATCTTCCTGGCTCGTAGCTGAGGGGAGAAAGACAAGGCAATTAATTAATGGAGATTAAACCCACTAAGAAATGTTGGTTTTCCATTGAAATAATGGTTTGGAACAAGCAGAAGCAAAATAGAGAATTTCTTTATTTTTTTGGACTGATTTATCCTTCTGGATAATCCAGATTTCTCCTCCTGGACACAATCCCCTTTTCTACAATACTTTCTTTCTGCTTAAATCACCATGTCACACTAAATTTCCAGGCTGCTTGAAGGGCTGAACTTGGGTAAAATCACTCAGTTTGATTTTGGTCTGGGGGTGTTGGAGCTGCATCTGGCTGCCAGGAGAAAACTGCTCCCTGTAAGAGAAAAAGTTCCCTCTCCACTCTGCTGTGCAACAAAAGTTAGACAAGCACTGACATGAGCTGTTCACAGGGCAGGCAAATGTGCTTCCAGTATTAACCACCCTGACCTCATTCACTTTCAGATATGGTAAGAGATTCTACAGTTTTAATTTTGTGTCTGTTTCTACTTGAACCCATCAGTCTTCCTAGTGACCTCTGTGGATGTGATGCTGTTTCTTCTTATTTAAAATCTTTGCAGATAATTCAATTCCCCTGTCTCTTTTTTAGATGGATTGGAAGAACAGTGTTTCCATGATCCTGCAATGTAAGGACTTCTGTTATCCACTACATGCACAAAAAAGTAACTTCAGAGAAATCCTAAACTTGGATATTTTCCTTGAGACCAGATCAACCAGTCCTCCAGCCACCAGAGCTGATAACATCATCTTCATTAGACAAACCAGCTGCTTTATTCCAGAGTCCTTTACCTCCTTACAAATGAAGCAACACTCTCACAGGAGAGATGACGTTAATATTACTGCTGTCATCCACTTTTCCTCCCTTTTCTTTCTCTAACTGCTGCAGTCAGGTTTCCCAGTCTGCCTTGGATCCTTCTCTAAGTGCTTTACATCACTCTGCACTGCACTTCCCACAGAGCTATTGCTCCCCAGCTGCTCTGCTCTGTTCTGGGGCTGTTTTGGTCTCCTACACTGCAATGGACAGGAGACTCATCTCTTCCTTTGGTGCTCCAAATCCTGTCCTTCTTTCCCTCTCAGTGCCCAGCAAGCTGGAGAAGCACTTCCAGCAGAGAACAGTGATGCACGACCTGTTCTCTCTTTCAGAATCAACCACCAATCCAACTGTGGTTTTATAAAAGTGTGGATTTACAGATTACTGTTTTTTGCACGTTAAATGCTGTACTGTCCTGCCTCCCTAGCATATAATCAGTGAATCATCATGGCTCTGCATCAGCTTTTCAATCACTCAAATGGATAGATTTTCTTTGATTTGGATGAGGAAAAAAAAATTAAATATATCATTCCATGCGCATTTGTGAAGAGGGATCTTGTCAGGCTTGCTAGGAGGGAATGTGTGAGGGGACACAATTCCACTTCCCAAAACTCCTGTATTGGAGCACAGATTTTGTCATGATTTTCCATCAGTTTACTGTGACTGTGGGGGAGAATATCAGTGGGAAAAGGCCCACAGAAATTATTGTGATGGAGGTGAGGCCCTGGCACAGGCTGCCCAGAGAAGCTGTGGATTCCCCGTCCCTGGAACTATTCAAGGCCAGGTTGGATGGGGCTTGGAGCAACCTGGGACAGAGGAAGGTGTCCCTGCCCATGGCAGGGGGTGGAATGAAATTATTTTTGAGGTATCTTCCAACCTAAAACATTCTGTGACTTTCTGATTTTATTTAACTTTTTTTTTTTTTTTTCACACACAAAAGGATGTTTCTTCATAGCAGATCCTCACCTAACACTAATTTCTTCAGAAGAAATTGCACTGCATCCTGAATGCTCAGCCCATGAGACAACAGACTTGCTACTGCTTCCCCCTTTAATTTTAACCTTCGTTAATTCCAAGTCAAACCAGGAAACCTCTGCTTCAAACTGCAGACCTTCAAAGGCACTTGGTTGTCCTTGTCCACTTCTGAAGTCACAGCCTGTGTTTGGTCAGCAGAGGATGCTAATGGGTCATTTAGCTTCAAGCAGAATTCTCAAATAGTCCATTAAGAGCCTCGAAGAGTGCACAGTTATCACTTCACATGGCTTTTCCATCATTCCCTTTGCAGAAAGATTCTCTTCTTTTTCCAGCATTACAAAGTCCAAGTCACTTTTATTTTGCATTTGCACAGTCTCTTCTCCCTTCGCTTTTTCCTTGCTTTTAACCAACTAAACCATAAACAGACTGAGACTGATCAGAGGACAGGAGAGCTACAGCCCAGTCTGAATCCTGGGATTTGGCTCACATTTTATGATCCTGTCCTGGCTGGCAAGTCAGGGTAATGATTCCTGCTCTTTAAAATATCTCCTACCTTATTTAGTATAACTGTCCTCCAAAGCCATAAAACCCACTGTAGGATTCTTCTGTCTATTACTAAGTTTTGTTGATTTTTTTTCTCTTATTTTACATTTCAGTAAGGAAAATGTTGAATTCTTTGAGTTGCTTTAGTCTCCAGCCATAAATCTGCACATGCTGGTGGAGCAGGGAAGCAGCTTCTGATCCCTTCCTGGACACACCACCTTTCCTACAGATCCTAAGGAAGAGTGGCAGGACACCAGCACCCCAGGGTTTTGTCACTTAGTTAAAAAAATAATGAAATATGAGCAAAAGCAGCATGTCCTCCCACTGGACAAGTGCACACCCTGCTTCAGGAAGGGCCTTGAAAGAATCCCTTCAATGGGACTTGGCATGAAGATTGGACTTGATGACCTTGGAGGTCTTTTCCAACCTTAATATTCTATGATTTTATGATACCCCATGGAGCTCACCAAGCCTGTCCTGTGGAGAGGACCAGCCTGGATTTCTGTGAGCTCTTGGGACCCTTTTCCTGCCTTTATCAGTGGAGAAAGATGCAAGCACAGAATGTGTTGAACAGATTCTCTTCCCCAGACAGTATCTGCAGACTGTGGTATGAGCTCCCTCACTTAAATATTGCATAAATACACATTAATAAACATCATAAATAATAATATTACATCTAACTATCTCTGCCATCATCCCAAGTTTAGGTCAACAGATTCTGATTGCCAAACTGAGATTACAAATGGTGTCTTAATGCCCCACTGCCATTCTTGAAGGACATTGAGAGACAAAAATAAACACATCCCTTTTAATGAGTTTTTCAAAGGGTTTTTTTAAGAACCCTGAGGTAACATTGCACACTGGAAGCACAGCAGCCTCAGAAATGTAAGCACTGAGCAGTGAAGAAATTCCAGAGTTTGTGTTTTCCATGTGTGCATATACAGGGAATATATCTTTGCCTCTCTCTAAAGTAGGATTTCTGCCTCATTCAGTAAGGGAATAATTATTCTGCTGCGTACATCACACATGCTTAAAAATTTTACTTATCTATTCAGGTTTTCTTAGGACATCTATCTAAAGTCATGTTCACATAAGACCACGCAAATCTCTCACTTAATGTAAAGATCCTGATTTTTTTTTTCAAGGGGTTTCCATGACAGCAGAATCATATAATTATTGCTTTCCATCCCAAACATCAGTACAATGATTGGGTTATATCCATTTTAAGTGGAGGAAGTAGAGACACATTCCATGGATGAAAGCACAGCTGATCTCAAGAGAGTTCCAGTTTTCCCAAGGAACAGCAAAAAAAAAAAATAAAAGGCAAATGTGATTCATGACGCCACCCCTTGCATAAAAGTTAATCTACACTTACATGGAAATGGAAAACTGTTTCCAAACCTGTAACTGGATTTCCTACCAGGACAAGTTCCTTGCTGCCTGAGACAGAAACTATGAGGTTTCTGCCACAATTTTAGTAGTCTCAGAATAACAAAACCACAGCCACAGAAAAGTTGAGGAAAAATTAAAAAAAAAAACAAAAAAAAACCAAAAAAACCAAACCAAAACAAAAAAAAAAAAAACAAAAAAAAAACCCCCAAAAACAAAACAAAACAAACCAACCAACCAAACAAACAAACCAAAAAAACCAAAAAAAACCAAACCAAAACAAAACAAAAAAAACCAAAAAAAATAACCACACCAAACCGTAACAATCCACAAGAAGCCAAACCAGCTGTAAATGAGTCATTTATGTTACAGCATAATTCTCCAGGGAGCTTTGCATTTTTGCAGCATTTCCCATGAATGCAACTAAAACGCAGTGGATTTTACTCATCTTTCCCCAGTTCTTTCTTCCCTCAGCTGCTGAGGCTCCTTCTCTCACACTCTGTGTTATTCCTATTCCCTATCTTCCTTGACTTTCCTGGAAGATCTGAGGCAACGTGACCTCCTCTCAATTCCTGCAACTACACCCATGATTGCTCACAGGAGCAATTTCAAAGCCATTTTGCCCAAAAACTTCCCCCTGCCCCTGGAGTTAGATGTTTGTAGAGAAGACATACCCAAGATCATTGGCACAGCAGATGGATCAGCAGCTGAAGGGCATTTTTGGTACAAGCTAAACTTGGATGGTCTTCACCTCAACTTAACAAGTATCCAGAAAACCTGACGGAATAACTATTTTGTTGCTTTCTTGGGTTTTTTTTTTATCCCAGAACCTGGAGGTTTTGCCAAATACTACTGCAGGTCACAAAAATCTATGGCTGCTTTCTCTATTTTTTTCTGTTAAATTGCAAAACTCTGGCCACATACAGGAGCTGCTGGAATTTAACAAAACCTCCCAAAAAACCTATTTTTCCCAGGAAGATGTATCCTGGAACTCCACCTTGGAAAGCACTGACTCCCTTTAACTATCTGTTCAAGTGAGTATTTAAATAGAGATAGAGAAATCAACGCAACAAACAATTTCAGGCTGAATTTGGGAAAAGTTCAAAGCTACAAGATTATCTTCTGCTGGAAAATGTAACAGAAATAATTATAAGCCTACTATCTGATTTCATTTTAATTATCTTAGCTTATTTTAAACCTCGAATGCTATGCTGCAGCACTGCTCTGGCTTTATAGCTCTGTCCCAACCTGTTGTAAGTCCATTTCCCACAA